CAGTTGAAAAGCTCATAGGCGATTTATATAATGTAACTAACGACACTTTCCCGATTTGTCGTTCCGTTTTCATTATAGCGAATGTAAATCATTTAGAGGTAGTGGAGGGGGAAGTTCTGTCATGTATAGATACGCGGTGCTCTCGGCCTAATGTTTTGCTCAGTCAGTCAAAACTTTTATTGGCCGATACGCTACCGCGTATCTCGATTGAGGGATAATTGATCATGGAGAATTAAAATTCACATAGATAGATCATTTTTTAATTTTAATCATTCACTTGAATTTTTTTTTTTCATATAATTCTGTAGATGCATAATAATACTTTTAACCATGCACACCCCCTTGCTATAAGAGAGCAATTTGTACCCCCTCTCATAAAGCAATAAACATACATACATACATACATACAATTATAATACTTTGGCTTTTCTCATAACAGTTTTATCGAATTATCGATATTGAAATTTTCATCTCTTCACAGGTTTTGCCAAGAGTAGTGCATATTTTCTCACGGAAGTCTAAATTTTCACATTTTTATCGGTACATTTCCTACATTACTACCCTGAAATAAAAAATTGGATTAATCAAAATTTTCATTCAATAGTCACTTGATATCAATAATATCTCTTTAATGATTCTATCGGAGATTATGCAATTTTGATTTTTCTATGGAAATTTTTAGGCAAAAATTTCCCATGTTTTTGTGACTGTTTTTTCTCTACTTGATTCTCATCGTAATGAAATCATAGGGAAAAAATTGAGAAAAATCATGCATGGAAATTCAAGAAAATTGTCCAGAGGAAACGCTAAGCAGTTCTATTCAGTTTTTTCAACCGTGCTCCCTACTACTCAAATCCAGATACCTCTTTTATCAATACATAATTATATTCTTCAAACATTTTAAAATTATAATTAAATCATGATCAAAATTATTTCACTGAGAAAACTGAAACATTATTGGATGAAGAAACGAAAATCTTTTTGCTGGCAATTCCTTACAGGTAACTAAGTAACCAATACCGTGAGGGATACAGTTATCGGACGGTTAAGGTTTAAGCTAGGAGAAGAGTCGAATCATGAGGCACTTTCGCCATAAATCAGGTGTGTGAAGGATCAAAGCGGTTTATTTATTTGTTCTTCATATTATTTAATGGATTTTTCCCTTTATCTCCAGTTTTTCTAATGAAAGTAAAGATAATCAATCAAGACAGTCATTTCTTCAGTTATCGGACGCCCTATCCATTTACGGGTAATTCGGAGGCTTCAGTTACTGGACATCTAAAAATTTCAATTCTCGGACGTATGCTATTTCCCCATCCGACCTCTGCATACCGTCCGCCAACTGCATCCCTCACGGTACTTTAATAGTTCTCTAATCGTCTGCACTCTTCTCAAAATGTTGAATGTGTTGTATATCCAACGAATATTATAACAATCAATGTTAATTCCAAATTAACATTTCTAGGTGTTTTTCTTTCAGAGTTGATTATGCGTTGAGGATATCCAAGTATCTTTTACAGTTTGGTACAGACCGCACTATAGATTCCACCATTTTCAATAATCAAATTTATCAATTAAATTGTGTGAGAAAAATTCGCAAAAACATCATAGATATTTAGTGTCACTCAAATTACATTCTGCACGGAATGATAATTTTTTTAAACATGAATAAATAATTGAAATGGTTTGATCTTTTGGAAACCTTATTTTTTTGGCATAAAATTGATTCCTGGTAAAATTCTGAATATGAAAAAATTGATTACAATTCCGAAAAATGATTTTTATGGTGAAAAATTGACTGTGTATGAATGATTCTTACAAAATTCTGTTAACCTTTAAAAATTGCAATTTTCAATTATTTTATGAATCTTTCTCTGAAAGTAGACTTTCTAGTTGTTTTTTTCAGATTTTTAAAACGTTTCCTGACGGTTCAAAATCAAGAATAAATTTCAGAACTCCAAAGTTTAGATAATAAATTCATTGTAAAATGCTCGGAAACTTATGGTCAAGTGGGGCTCAAATGGAAGCTCTTATTTAAAACTACAAAAGTTTTAAAATAGCCGAAGTACTTTGATATCTTTAAGAAAAGCAACGGTCGAATCCAAAGAATTTACAAATGAATCATTTCAATAGGAATAAGAACATACCTCAACATCGTATTTTGCTCGACACTTATGTGTAATTAGATTATTGGAGCTCGATATTTGTTTATTTGAGTAGTAAAGTCATGCTTTATTTTCCTCCATTCAGTAGAGGAAAAAGATACAATGAAGGACGAGCAGTAGCAATCTGGAATTGAGAAAAAAAATTATAGAAAAAAATCTTGATTATTATTTTGGGTATTCCTGATGAATTAAACTCAGATGAGTTAACCTTGAATCTGGCTCCATGGTAATTTTTCAGAGTTTCTCTCTTCTTCCTTGGGTTAACTCTGCGATTCATTCATCAGGAATTACTATAGGAAAATTTCCACTCACTTGGTCCTTTGATTTTTGGCCTCTTAAGTCGACGACGATTACCTGTACACCGAAGTACCACTATGTATAATTAAGAAGAAGATACACAACAAAAAAATTGTTTCAATGTTCGATGGATTCAAAAACTGGTTTTCTCGGTCTTTTTGGGCAGAAGAACGGCCTGGATGTTGGGAAGTCCTTGACCCTGTGCAATTTCACCTCCAGAGAGAACTCGACTCTCTATGGTTACGAATGGTCAATTGTAAATCTCTTGGGATGATCCTGGTCTCCTTGTTTTTTTATGAGCACTGTTTTGGCACTTCCACTATTTTTACACTTTTTTATCAGTGGGGATTGATCGATTCATGTAATTATCACAAAATTTAACCTGATCAATGGCTCAATTTTCATCAACAAAAATTGTCATTTTTTTCTAATCGATACTCGACAGTTGTTTGCATTGTTAATCGATATTTTTATTTTCGATTTTAAAAAATCGATACCTCGCATTTCGAGAAACGGTCTTCTCCTTTAGTATAATTATGTCATCAGACGATAAAAGTATTATCTGGCGAATATGGCTTTATAATCCGAGCCAAAGACGAGGATTATAATTACATTTGCCAGACAATACTTTTATCGCCGTGTGACATAAAATGTATTTTTGGCCTCGTCACTCCGGCTCTCAACTGACTCAATTTTCTCTCAAACACAGGAAATTGTGGAGAGTCCAACTATCAACTTGGTCCGCCAAGGATATCCTTATAATTTTCTCGAAAACCGGAGAACTTTCCTAGAATTTTCTCGAAAATCTAAGAATTATTTAGAACTGTCTCGAAAACCCAAGCTTTTTCTGGAATGTTCTAGAAAACTGGAGAATTTCTTCGAATTTTCCAGAAAATGGGAAAATTTTCACGAAAACCGGAGAATTTTTTCGAACGTGCTCGGACACACTAGAATTTCCTCAAATTTCGTTTCAAAACTCTAAATATCCTTATAATTTTTTCGAAAACTGGAGAATTTTCAGGAATTTTCTCAAAAACCGGAAAATTCTCTCAAAAATCGGAAATATTTCTCGAAAACTTCATAGGAAACATCAGAATATCTACTGGAAAAAATAAACACGAACACTTTTATATGTCACCCTGGTTTCCTGCCATTCCCGCAGTTACCGACATAGCTACGGTCGCGATAAAGCTTCTTGCTTTGATCGCAAACTGGGGGGGCGTAAAATCGCCACTCGGAAAAAAAATCCCTCCATCCGGGCCTTAAAAATAATTAAAAATAAATTCCATTGAATTTCGAAGAAAATTTTTAAAAAAGTTATCAACGATTTACCGCTTTAAGCCTATTAAGCTAACTAAATCATTCGTATGCACCCACCACCTAAATTTAAAGAATTTATAACAACTTATTTGAAGTTATGATCGCAGAAATTCAACCGAAAATTGAGGATAAAATAAATTTTCTAGTAAGGTGGAAATTTTAAAATGGTGAACAATAGTTAGAGGCAAATGGGTGGATGAGGTCATCCATTTATTGATAAATGAGGCGAATTGAAAATATTCGAATTTATGTTGAATGGCCTTCAAACAGGTATATTTCTAGGGGCCCTTAGTAGGATTAACCCAGTGACGCATACTACTCTTTCTTACGCAGCATGCCATCTGAGAGTGTAGGTAAAATAATACGAGTTCTAAGAACTCGTCGTGTCATTATAATAATCCTGCCCTTTCACCATCCCGAGATTCCACTACGAAGAGGCATATTGAAGTGTACATATACACTTTGGGCGCCAACATTTGTTTTCATTGACTTTTAGGACAGATAAATTCCCATGGTGTCACAGATGATTGAATTATCAATTGCAAGTAAATCGAGACATGCAGTAGCGTACTGTCATTTACTTCAAATCTACTGCGCATGCCGCTCTTTCCATTAGGCTGAGCGCGCAGAAAAGGGGTTGGGCATCAAGGATCCCGCTGGGAAAATTACATAATTGCGGTTAAAAAACTTCTGCATTCTTCTACAGGACAACTATTCATCCTAGAACATCATTTCCTATATCGAATTTGTGTGCAATTTTCTCCTCTGCATTGTCGTATCTTTTTTATTTCAATCGATTGAGTCCAGTCGAAACTACGAATATTTATAGTGTTGACCCCAACGAACACTGGTTGTTTTAAATTATTTTCAAATTCTCTGCATTAGAGAATGTAAAAAGGTTGGTGAACATTTTTGCAGGACATTTTTATCTATCTATTGGTATATTTTTCTACCTGTATATGTTTATGGGGGGGTTTGGCAATTTTTGAGTCTACTTTGACTACACTATCGAGCTCACCGGTTACTCATGGATGTTTCCAGCACAGAAAACGAGTCCATTAAATTTTGTGTGAGAACATTCATTCGTTCACAATGAGCCTAGACACGTTTATTGGTTCATAATGAGCCTATACTGGAATATGCGATACTATTAAAGCTCGCGTTGTTGCATAGTTGATAATATTCCCATTCATTAATATTTCGATTCAAAATTTATACCTAATTGTTTGAGGAGCAATTCCGATTGATAAAGGTGTTTGCCATGCAGACTCATCCAGGAAGCCAGACACTCAGGTTCAACAGTAATACAAGTTGTCATTATCCTCAATAATTCGTTCCTAAAAGTTGGATTCGTCTTTGATGTAATTCTCTCCATCGAATTCTCAAAAAGTAACAGATGATTGACTTGATTATTCTTCATAGCCACCGCCTGAAAAACAAATAAAAACCATAAATCAAACCATAAAAAAAACATGAACATAAAAATATCTGTTTTCTCAAAGATCGGATTGAACGGCAAAGTTGTGGTCTCAAAATTGATTATTTCAATTGTAATGTTGCGAAAAAAATGGCACAAAAAGATGCTTTTCTATGAGAAATTCTCCACATTTAACGCCTAACTTTTTTTGGCTCTAGTAAATAATTTGCAAGATAATTATGAAATTGAAAAAAAATTAACCCGGATTACACCCTCGCACCGGAAATTTCTGTAAGTAGAATCTCACCTTTAATAATTCTCCGCATTCTCTGATCTCTTTCTCAACAGCATTGGAAATATGTATTTTCCCAGAGTACAAATCTTCAAAAATTTGCATGAACAAATGTTGCGTCAAGTTATTCAAATTTGTATCAGCACAGAGAGTTTTCTTTAGTATTTTCATAACATGGCTAGCATAAGTTTTCGATTCCAACATTGGTGCCATCACCTCATGCCAAAGAGTCAATCCTACGCCCACATCCTTATAGCCCGGTTGAGAGAGAGCCCAAAGTAAAGAAAAACCGACTGATTTCTTATTCTGATAAGAATTCCTGAGACCAATATGTTTTTCAATGTTTAACGTGGTGATCGAGGGATACATTTGCGCCAACAATTGCAGAAATATCTTGCTCCCCATATCTGGACTGTCATTCGACATGTTCTTCACCATTAAAAAAAGAGTCCCCTCGTAAAACATTTGAATATTTTGGGTCCCAGCCGATCTGATAACTTTCTCGAAAATTGTACGAACCGACTTTGGGATTAAACTGAGTGGATAAGTCTCTGATGTCGACTGGAAAATTGAACGTGATTTCTCTTGCGAAAATGTGGCATTGACATAAGCTACTAGGTCCTTCAGCCAAATTAACGGAGCGTCTGGGAATCTCGTTTTGTTTGTATCTAAAAGCTCGGTGATTTTCTCTACGGTAATGACACTTTTCTCTGTGAGCTTGGAAGACTTTTCTTTAGAGTTCTCTTTGATCGGCAGCTTCTTCTTTTCATTTGGCTGAAATTTCTGTTGATACTGTTTCTTTTTCTCTTCATTACCTTTCGTTTTGTGCTCTTTATCTTTTGGTTTCTTATTCTCTTTATCCCCATCCAAACTGTCGTAGAGTGTCTTCACTTGATTGAGAGGAACTGTTAAAACAATATGTTTCTTTAAGTAATCTGTGTTCGAAATGTTTGATTATTTAAGGGGTTCCGTTTTTTTTTAAAAGAAAGCAAGGTATTTTGAGAGCTGTTGCAGGCGATTGATTAAGGTTACACGTGGCAACTTACGGAAATCCTCGACTTTTGGTGAATTTTCAATTAATTTCTTCTTCTCTGTCTTCGATAATTTTGAAGGCTTTCCAGCCACTTTGTCCTTCTTATTCTTACCAACTACCTCCCAACCACCTGATGACATGTTTTCAGACTTACACAAAATAATTCGTGGAAATTATAAAGAAATAAAGAAACCATCAATACAACACTACACTTCAAGGTGGACACTAAATAAACAGCGGGGGGGGGGGCGCCAGGGGGTGTCGTCTCCCACTGTTTTCTAGGCTCGCCGAAATTTCTCCCGAGTTTTACTAAACGTTGGACCCAATAAAATGAATGTGGATACATTCAAATAAATAATAATACGATATACATTACGACTAAATAAATTATTGGCTAATAAAGTTGAAAAGCAAGGAAATATTGTACTCAGTACTGGAATAATAAATTGTGAGAAATTCTTCTTATATAAAAAAAGCATGCATTGGAAACTGTCATGGCGGAGAGCATGTAAAAAGTGTCATGGCGGCGCATGAAGGATGCATTCTCTCATCATGAGAATGAGCAATGCGGCCGCGACGGCGCTATTCAGGGAAGCGCGCGTAAATTACAAATCGGATTCTCTATGTGAAATGAAAAATTGTTCGAATGATGATTGATAATTGGATAACTTGAAAGCCAAGAATGGAATGAAGCAAGTGGGAAATTACGTTTATCGTCATATAGTATTGTTATTTTTGCTTATTGTTATATTTATCACACATGCAGTCACTGAAAAATATGTTTTGGGTGTTTGGGAAATTGCTTTTTTCTCCATAATATAGTATGGTTATTTTTGCTAATAAATTAGCAATACACTTCCGAATGGTCATTTTGCACATTATTTTCTTCTGTTGTATATAATTCATCGTTTGATAATCCTCTTTTTTTTTCTATTCATAAAAGACACGAAGGGTAAAACTCGAATTGAAAAAAGTCGAACGCCGAAAGTCGAACTCAAAATAGCTCGAATGAGGACGAACTTCGGCGGAGACACCGACAGATGGCATTGAAAAAAAAAACGGGTACTATAAAGAGGAATCTTCATAAATAATTTCGCGAAAATGGGCGCGACTTTTGAAGAGCATTTCTAGCCTGAAATAAGAAACGAGCAAATAATTCGTAAAAATATTTTTTAGTTCTCATTCTCAGTCAATGTACACATTAATGTATTGGTTATGAAAGGAAATATTGTAAATTCACCGAAAAAAGGTATCATAAACAAAGTTGGAGAATCGGAAATTAAAAATAGTATGGAAATATCGAATGAAAATTTTGAAAAAAATAGAGAAATTTATTGGTTTTTTCATACTCCAATTTGACAAAATTTTCGAATTTCTGTAAAAGAATAGAGAAAAGTAGTAAGTTCTGAAAGAAATTTCCTTCTCCCGGAATTGTGAAAAATTATCGATGGTGAGAGAGTACTTCAAGTTGATGTTAGAACATCAGAATCCTTATCTTATTTTTGGAAAAAAATTCACGAGAATTAAAAAAGGATTTCAAACCTCAAATAAGGAATACATGAAATACATACAATCAGTGCATATTTTTTACACACGGAATTGTTTGTTATGACTGGAATAGAAAATCAGGGCATAGATTTTGCACACGTTTTTGTTTATGATAAATGGAATGGGAAATCAGTGCATATTTTCCACACAGATATATTTATGTTGAATGAAATGGAAAATTATTCGTTAGTGATGAGTGTTAAAAATTGACAAGATGGTTGAAATAGTTCATAATTAAATAAACTTGAATGTCAATCGTGGAATAAAAGAAATGAATCTTATATTCTTCCAAATCATTCAGACCTAATTCTAAGTTGTAACTATTAAAATATTCGTGTTCCATTTTTTCATTCAATTTTAGTTCAAGGGTTTGTTAAATGAAATCAATATTTATTTTACAAAATCAAAGAGTAATGAATTTTCTACATGACATAAAAAAGTCTAAATTTTTTTTATTTGAAGAATTTCTATCATCTAACTCCTTCATTGAATTGGCCAGTAAAAGTTCGCAAATAAAGGCATTCCGCGAATAATTGCCTTTTTCAACATTCCCTTTGCAGGAATGAATATGGAAATGCTCTAAACTCCTAAAGACATCATTTTTTTGCATTAAATTGATTTTTATTGAAATTTTCGGGATTTAGGAAAAAAATTATTTCTAAAGTGAAAAATTTAGTATTATTGAATAAGGTAATTAAACTGTTGAAGAAAAAATGAAATTCCATGGATCTTTTAGTAGTCAATTTCAGACAACAAGATATTTAATTCAGTTTGAAAGAGCAAGCAATGAAGTTCACATTTCATGACAATTACATGGAATTCAATACATTTTTCGATCCAAGTTACTAGAATTCTCATTTGAAAAATAATTACTCTGTTCAGAATTGCTCTGTATTTTTTATTGATAAATAAATTATGATTGTCTTAATCATTTTTTCAACTTTTTAAAGGTTGCATTTACTGACGTTTTCTTCAAACAAAGATTATTAGAATCAATAGTTAAATTTATTTTTCATTGAATAGATAAAAATAATATCCAACTTCAATACAGTAGGGTCCAGTGTCCTCGGCATATAATACACTCTCAAGTATTACCCAATAATAAAATATAAGCAAGACAAAAGAAAAAAAACATCAGTATCCAAATTCAAAATTTATGTGAAAAAAAAAATCTGTGACCCATTTCGTAATAGCTTAGAATTAGAATGATCATATTTATATCATTTGATCTGCATCATTATCATGAATTTATTTTAACTTTTGATTATTTATTTTGTGCTGAATATATGAGGTGTTGATATGAGAGTTGTATTGATCATATGACTCACAAATTAAGTGNATCATATTTATGTCATTTGATCTGCATCATTATCATGAATTTATTTTAACTTTTGATTATTTATTTTGTGCTGAATATATGAGGTGTTGATATGAGAGTTGTATTGATCATATGACTCACAAATTAAGTGAAATACCGAATGAGCTAATTAGAAAAATTTATAAGTATTGACACCCACTTTTACTAGAGTATCAACAATCATTGAATTTCAGAAATTTACTCTCTGAATTACGTTCGAGAAAATAATTTTATGATTAAAATATTACTCCGTGATCATAGCAATTAGCAGATGAGTAATTCATTGCAATATGAAGAATTAACAACTAATAAATTGGAACATATCATTTTCATCATTCGCATTGCTTTTTGCAACGAGAACGATTCGAACAAGACATTAAATTTTTTTGGCATGAAATTAATATTCAGTGAAATTCCGGAAGCGGAAGAATTCATAAAAATTCAGGAAAAAATACTATTACAATGATCATCAATTTTTCACTTCGAGAGTGAAAAAATGGAAGCTATTAAATTGTTTACATAAAAAATAATCATGGTCGTAGTCTACTNGAACAAGACATTAAATTTCTTTGGCATGAAATTAATGTTCAGTGAAATTCCGGAAGCGGAAGAATTCATAAAAATTCAGGAAAAAATACTATTACAATGATCATCAATTTTTCACTTCGAGAGTGAAAAAATGGAAGCTATTAAATTGTTTACATAAAAAATAATCATGATCGTAGTCTACTTTGGTAAGTTCACTCTCTATTTTCCACTTTGAAGATTTTTTAAATGTTCTCTAATAGTTATAGGTAAATAGCAATTAAACTGTTGAAAAAAAGTAAATAAAATTTCATGCTCAGTTTAGTAGCAATTTTTAGAGGAGAAGCATTGATTTCAGTTTGAGAGGGAAAAGTTATGACATTTCAAATTTCATTGAAAATTCAATAGAAATCAACACTTTTTAATAGCATGAAGATAAAAACTCTCAAGTTACATGAATTTTCAACCGCACAATGTTTACATTAAAAAGTTGTATTAAGAATAAAAGGCTGTAACTTAACATTCCATGACAGCAAAGAACAAGAATTAGAATGTTTATGTAATTATTTATATGAATTTTCAATTCACAAAAAATGAAGGAGCAGAAGTCAAATTGTAATTTTAAGTTCGAATTTTGAATTTGAAATATATTTTAAGAAATTCCAAGTACGGAACGATGATATGAACAACAGATTAATTGAACTGCCGAGCGAACGGATTCAAAAATTTCATAGCAACGTTGGGGTGCGCTTTAACCAAAGTTTCACCAAACATTGACTTCAAGCAATTTACTCTCTGAATTATGTTTGAGAGAAAGTTGAGAAATGAGTCACAATGAGAAAAAAAATGAATTGCTAATAAGTTGGGATATATTATTTTCTTTAGTAGTATTGCTTTTTGCAATGAGAATGTTTATGAACAATGAACATCATTGCCGCAATTGCGTGATGAAAATGAAAAGACAACCTTTTAGTTTGCCTGAGGTAATAATGCAAAGTCTAAATTATTGAAGCTAGAAATATGAAAATTTTAGGGCAGGTTCTATTCCTGATGTGAGCATTCATTGAGAGAATATTTTGAAAAATGAAGGGATGTGTTTCTTCATGAAATCCAGCTCTACACGTATGAAAAAATCGTATAGAAAGTTTCTATACGATTTGCGTATAGAATTTCTATAGGTTTTTCATATATGATATTCGGATATTTCTATACGATTTTTTCCTACGTGTAGGAACTTCAAGAAAGTTTGAGTTTTTCAAAGAATTCAAAATATAAGGATTTCTGAAGAAACTTCAGGAAATCCAGAGGTTTTTCGGAAAGTAGAGAAGATTTTAGGTATTTCTCAAATATTTGTGAATTTTTGAAAAAAAACAATGGGAGAACAATCTATAAAAAAGCGCCGGAATTTTCCTAATAAAATTGATGAAAAGGAGGAACGTGACCCCGACCACTGCACTTTGAAATGAAAAACCAAGAAATGACTTGAGAAATAGCTTGGATTTTTTCAAAGATTTCGGCAAAAAATTTCAACATTCTTAAAAAAAAATCACAAAAATTTTGAGATTTTAGGAAAAATTTTGAAAAAAAAACGGTGAAAAAGATCACAAAATGAGTGAAAAAGTAAAAATTGTGAAAAGGATCATGAAATGATGCCAAGATAATCCAAATGAATGAATAATCATCAGACTTGGTCATATAATTTTTCAAAAAGAAAAATAATTGAATGCTTTCATAAAGTAGTAAAGGAGAACGAACGGGGAGACGAAGATTATAAAATTCTGGGATGCGAGCACTTTGATAACTATCGTTTTGCACTCTAAATAGAATTTCACGGAAATTCAGAATCAATCACGTATTGAAATATTGAAATCGAACAGGTGATGAACCGAAACGCATTCTTTCCATTGATTTCAATACTTAGTACAATAAAATCCTAATGAATCATCAATTTTGGGGAGAAATAAATGAAAGAAAACAGGAAAGGACATCAACGTCGCGGCCGCGGTGGCGCAGGTGGCGCTAGTCAGAGATTATAAGGG